CTGAGCAGGGAGCCCGATGCGGGACTCGATCCCGGGACTCCAGGATCATGACCTGAGCCGAAGGCAGTTGCTTAACCAACTGAGCCACCCAGGCGCCCCGGGTTACATCCCTTTGAAATAAAGGTTGAATCTCATCCTATTCTGTTCAAGGTACCACTTTTACCTTGAAATTGCTTAGCAATAATATGTTTGTGCTTTAAAGTTTGGTCTGTTTTCATGTTATCTAATTTGAAACTCACAACTGTATTGTTAGTTTCCTCTTCTGTAAAAAGGAATAATATCCTAGTTAGTTATGTATTATCCCTATTTTGCAGATAAGGAAACTGAGACCCAGACAGTCGATCAGCTAGCTCCTGCATAGACTGTCATATTATTATCACTTTCTGTGTTCTATCATGGCTGTTTTTCCTCAGACTTCTTTGAGATCTTTAAAAATCTAATTTGCACTCCCCGGCTGTTGTTGAAAATATGACTTTCCTTGTGGAACAATTTATGCCCCAGAATTTTCTCTTGGGTGTAGTGTAGCTAGTATCCAAAATATCTTTGGTCCCCGTAGGACTAGTTTACCTTTTCCATCCAAGACAAAAGCTAAGATCTCTTAACACCACTATTCCTAATTAGCAGATTTGTTTACTCTAAATTTGCAGTTATAATACAAGGTAGGCAAACAACAAGAAGATTCAGATTCAGAAGCACTAAAATGTTGATTGTCATGTTTGTAAATGGGTGTTTTTAAGACAGAGTTTTAATTGAGGCAGTGGTGGGTATTAATCTCACCCTACTTTACCATAACACTAAGCTGTTAACTCAGAATTCATTCAGGAAATTGGCTATTTTGGAAGACTAGCTGTTAAATGATTTTGTTTTTCTCTTAATATGTGATCACCAGGTCCTGACTATTAATTTAGTCAAGGCTCTGGAATTGGAATGTAGCTCTAACATTATCTGGAACTATAGGCTTTATTAGGAATACCACTTTGGTAGTCTCTCCCAGTCTCATTCTTATTAGAGTTTTAATTAATAAGAAAACCTCTCTAATTCTGGATTTTGCTCTCTACCTTCTGGCTCTTCTATTTCACTGGCTTCACCAAATGTTCCAAAGGCCCATTGTGAGTCACCTATTTGAGAACTGGTTCCCCCCAAAATGCTGAATATTGAAAATAAGAAAATGTGTTGTTTTATGAAATAGGCAGCAATGAGACAGGAATGGCCAGGAGCCTAGCTGTTGAGACAGTCTGCAGATTCCATAGTTACAGGTAAGCAAGGAGTCAAGTCAGAGGGCAGCTAGCTAACTTAGGAAAAAGCAGCCTTCGTGTAAAAGGAAAGGAAAAAAAAAAAAGGAAAAAAAAAAAGGATAGTTGAGGTGATCTCGATCCAAGAAGCCAGTGAGGGGGCTCTAGTAAAGCCTGCTGAGAAAAGGTAGGCCCTGATCTGAGAATGTGGGGCCTTAGAACCCTGGCTCTTAATGCTTGTGGTCAGAGGCCCAAAGTGGATCTGCTCTAAGGCATACAAGGTAGGCATGCTAAGATCACAACAGGTATAGAACAGAGTGTACTGTAGAACCCCCAGGGCAATATCCTCTGTGCCCTGAATTGCATAGCTGTAATTTTACCTAAAGGTTAGCAGCATTTTTCCTTCAATAGGTAGGACAAAGTTTGCTCAGCTTCATTCTATAAAAGTCTCTGACATTGTCATTATTATAATTGAGTGGGCTTTTTTTGTTTTGTTTTTAACTTGGTTGCAATCAGTGGAGCCCTGAATTGAAATGTAAATCTGTTTAGAATTTTCCAGTGTTTACAGCAGCTTTCCCCAGTCTGCCATTGTAGCATCAGTCCCAAGAAAATAAAAAAGATTGGAATAAAAAAGATTCCATGGTCAAATGAGTACAGGAAACATTTAATACTATATCCCTCACTTGAAGATTTGCAGTGTATATTAGTAAGCTAAAAGATTTTTGTGAGTCTTACAGTAAAGAAATCTGTTTGATCCAGTGTTTCCCAAATTTTTTTAACTTTGGAATTTTTTGTCACTAATATCCACCAACCTTCTTTTGAACTAATATTTCTTCAACATTTGGTTAACATACTCTTGGAAGTAAAAGCTATATCACTCCATCTTATTTTCTGATGCATTTCAAAGTATGTTGGAGACATCAGTACACTTTATTCCTTAATACTTCAGAATATATAACATTAACTAGAGTTCAGCATTTGTTTACAGTTCCTTTTGTGTTTGTGTGTGTAACTTTTTATGTGCCAGGCACATGATAGGTGCTTCTCAAATGTCTGTTGAATGTGTAAATGACTCAATCAGGTCAAAACACAAAGAAGAGAAAGAAGACTGGAGGGTGCACATTCACAAAAGTGGTAGAACCCTGTACAGTTCAACAAGGCCATATTATGTCTGCTGTCGTGACAGTCTCAAAATAAAATTCCCTCTACCATATCTTCTCTTCACCCCAGTGCATGTATACAGAGCCCCACACATACCTGTGTTAGAACATTCCATTCTCAGAAGCCAGAAAGAGGGCATCTTTTGGGAAAATGAGGCCAGGATAAATCAGTGCTCATCTCTTGGTAGTGGCTTTTTGGATCATGAGCATTGACAGAAACGAGAAACAACTGACTAGAATTTGAAGGGAGAGGGGTTTTTTGGCCTAAGTATCTCATAGCCTAGCCCAGCTGTCCACCATACATACCCGTCACTTTTAGGCTGACTGATGGGTTAAAGAAGTAGCAGTTTCTGCCTGTCCAAATAATGCCCATTTTTCCAGGACCACCTGATAATTCATCTCCACCATGAAAGATTCCCTCACCATGCTAGCACAGTGATTGCTTCATCTTAACTCACTGTCATTTATTGGCACTTAATATTCACTGTCTTGGAGATTTTGTTTTATTTTTTAACCTTTCATTATTGCAAAAGCAGTACATGTGCTCTGAAGAAAGTTAGAAAATAGAAACAATTCAAATAATTAAAAATGTTTACCTTCTAGAGATGACCATTGGAACAGTTTAGTGCAAATCTTTAGGGACCTTTTCCTAGACATATGTAAAAGCAACTATAATTTTTTAAACATAAATCAGATCATATACTGCACATACTATTTTGTAACCTGCTTTTTAAATCCATGATCTCCACCTTTCCACTCCAGTAACTTTTCATTATTCTAATCCAAGTCCATATTTCAAAATTCCCCAGTTGACCTCAAAAGGTGTCCTTTACATTTGGTTTGCAAATCCGGATGCATGCAGTCCAGGACCATGCATTATATCTGTTGTGTTATGTCTGGTCCCTCGAGTGTTGTTTATTTTAGTACGATTCCTCTTTTCCATTGACATGTTGAAGAAACTGGGCCACTTGCCCTGTAGAAAGTTCTAGCTTCTGAATTTGTCTGGTTGCTCCCTCGTAGTTGACATTTAGTTCACTCTTCTACTCCCTGCATTTCCTATAACTGGAGGCTATATATTAAAAGCTTGATGGATTTTGGCTAGAAAATGTGCACTTACGATGTGTTACATCAAATGTATTACAAAATAGCTGATTGTCCTTCCATCGATGATACTAACATTGATAACCTGGACTATGGCAGTGATGTGAGATTGATTCTCCATTGTTCAGTTATGTTTCCCCCCTTTTGTCAAGAAAAGTACTCCATGATTTATTCATGCGTTGATTCTTCTTCCGACGCCACCAAATACTGGAACACAATTTCTCATCCTTTGTGGTCATTGAGCATCTTGATGAAAATAGCATATCACCAACTAACTTTGTAACTTTCCTACATGCTTTTGGTCCATATAACTTAACTGTTCTGATTTCAAAAATGAGTCAGTATTAGTTGCAGACTAATAGAAATTATACTTTACCTCTAATAATGAAATTAGGAAGATGAGATGTGCCCTCTTTAGAAATAAACCAAGAATTGTCTTTTTCTTTTCAAGATTTTATTTATTTATTTGAGAGAGAGAGATAGCAAGAGCAGGAACATAAGCAGGGGGAGTGGGAGAGGGAGAAGCAGCCTTCCCGCTGAGCAGGGAGCCTGATGCGGGGCTTGATCCCAGGACCCTGGGATCATGACCTGAGCCGAAGGCAGATGCTTAACAACTGAGCCACCCAGGTGCCC